GGAGGTAATGGTCCAAGTCAGTGGAATGCAGGTCGTGACACACTGCAGACTGCCTAGTTGCAAACAGAGTATTAGAGAGTGCAATCAGGGGGCAGGCAGGGCAGGATCATCCCGTCCAACTGCAGCCACGCAGAAAAAATAAAGCGCAGTGCTATTCTTCCAGAATGGACCACGTTGCATACAACCAATTCCAGCTCCATACCTGTCCAGATGGCCGTCCAGATGTCAGGATCCCGACTGTGACTGTGACGTGCTACATATGAGAGCAGTGCAAAAAACAGATAGTCTGTGAATTCTTGCATTCTGTCGGAGTGGGTGATATTCCATTTTCCGCTTTGATTTTGGGTCAAACGACTCGAGAGTCAAAAACCGATTAATTACGGCTTAAAAGCGTTGGTAGGGGGCCTAGGGGCCTCTACAGACTGTTTTTTTTTCAGGGTTCAGACCCCTTGACGAGGGGGTGAACGTCGAACAGAACAGTCTGTCTCAACCCTTCATGGATATTTTGTCGCCTCCTTCCCTCCTTCCCTCCTTCCCTCCTTCCCTCCTGCCCGCGGTTCGCATGTTCTTCTTTGTGACAATAAACATGACGCTGATACTGACACTGACACTGTGGCACTATACATCGGTGACAATAAACATGACACTATACATCAGGGGCGGGCTGTGACAGTGTTTGTCACAGCCCGCCCCTGACAAGATAGATGAAGTTATGAACAAGCATAAACATAAACATCAAAATGATTACAGTTTGGCCAAATCTGTCAATCCGAACCTTTCCTCTGGGGCATCACCGATACAGTCAAATATGGCATCGGCTATGGAAAAGTCTTCGTCTGCAGTATATCCGCTTTTTGTGACGACGCACTTCATGCCGGCGCCTTTTGCTGCTTGCAAACCAATGTGGCTATCTTCCACAACTACGCACCTTGTTGGATCGACATTGAGTTCAGACGCCGCTAGATTGTAGATCGCCGGGTCCGGCTTTTTCCTCGGCACCACATCTCCGGCAAAAATCCGAATAGCTGCTGCCTTTTCCGGCCCGAGCATTTCCCTTACGATCGCCGACACTGCCTTCTCATTCGACGTGCTGCAAACCGCCACCTTTACTCCTTCGCCCATCGCTTCGTCTATCAATCTTGCGACTCCTGGGCGCAAAGGCAGAGCGCCCGTTTCCACCATAGACATGAAAAGCTGTGTCTTCGTTTTGTGAAGATCGGCCACGAATTGTTTCCTCTCCCCCTCACCCTCCGGACTACCCACAGGCCATCCCACCTGGTTGAAGTAGTGAGTCATCCTCTCTTTTCCACCGCCGATCTTCAGGAGCTCTCCGTATAAATCTACACCCCATTCCACATCGAGACCTTTCTCCTCAAAAGCTGCGTTAAAGGACACGCGATGGCCGTCCCTCTCGGTATCGACGAGCACTCCATCACAGTCGAATAGCAACGCTTCCGGCAAGTCAACAACCTTGCCGTCCTCTGTCGCCGTCGTCGCACCCGAGGACGGCATCGATGACGCTGCTGAAGTTATTGTTACAACCCTCTCCTTGGGAATCGACAAAAGTCTGACCAGAGGCGGCGAATCACAATTGCTATGTGGAACGGAAAAGCTGGAGGAGGAAACAGGGAAAGGAGGAAAGGACATGAGACGACGGCAACGTCTCTGGGAGTATGGCGGCAGAGAGAAGGCGGGAGGAGACAACGACCCTCGGGATTGAGAGGCAGGAGGGGAGCGCGAGCGCATGGGCGTCAAAGAGCTTGCAACGGCGATCGACGGCATCGCCGGCAGGGTTGCAGCAATAGCAGCTGTCTGAAGAGGCGATGACATTGCGCTAGTATGGACAAAGTTATGACATGGACAGAGGCAGAGGCCTCTGGCAGCCATTGCCGCAGAAGATGACATTGAGGTGATTCGTAGACCCGTTCGATCTCCTCAATCTCGATCAACCTGCCCGCGTCTCTCTTTTATAGCCGGCCCAAGGGGCTGTGCGAGTGTTAACGCTAGTTGCCTTCTGATGGTTTGTTGGGCCTCAAGAGGCTGGCCGTATGTTAAGTCCGACCTCCAAAAATAGAACGTGCAGAGATTGCAGTCCCGCCATGCCCACTCATACGGCCAGCGCCTGATTGCAAACCAGAACTAACTGCAACCCAACTCTTGCAGAGACAAAACATCAAAGCATTTACAAGTTTTGACAAAAAAAAGAAAAAAAGCAAATGAATTCATCACCAAATGCCAGCAAATCAAAACCCTCTTCTCGTCACCCTTCCTTCTGTTCCCCAGGTCTTCAAGACCCACAAACTGCCCTCCCTCTCCCTTTTCTTCTTTTTGTGGAACTGAAAGCATTTCTGTACCTTTTCCTCAGTCCCTTCTCTCTCTCTCTCTCTCTCTCTCTCTCTCTCTCTCTCTCTCTCTCTCTCTCTCTCTCTCTCTCTCTCTCT